CATCATCATCATCATCGTCGCCACGGGATGCCCAAAACGAGAAGAATTCCAACCAACCAACCGCTGGTCGAGCGCTGCTCAGCTCAACGTGGGCAGAGACCGTGCGTGCGTGCATAAACCGCTTGCGCCCCCACTCTCTCTAATGAATGAAATCATTCATCGCCCCGAGAATTCATCCCGTCAGATTGTGCCTGCTCAGCACAGCAGCCATCCCATAGCCGCCCTCGTCTCAGTCAGACCTCGTCGTTCTATATATACCTCCTACCTACCTTCCACCATCTCCACCATCTTCCTTCCACACAAACAAACTCACACGCCCCCTTCACAAACACTAGCAAATATGCCTCGCGGATACGGTATTTCCGACACCAAGAACTGGACCGACTTCAAGGTCCACGAGTTCGACCTCAAGAAGGAGACGGACGAGGATGTCGAGATTGCCATCACCCACTGCGGTGTCTGCGGCTCGGACGTCCACACCATCTCCGGTGGCTGGGGCCCCCTCTCGCACGACTTCTGCATTCCCGGCCACGAGATCATCGGCACCGCCATCAAGGTCGGCAAGAACGTCAAGGGCATCAAGGTTGGCGACCGCGTCGGCGTCGGTGCCCAGGTCGACTCCTGTGGCGAGTGTGTGCCTTGCAAGGGCGAGGAGGAGCAGTACTGTCAAGGAAAGAACGGCAAGGGCATGGTCGACACGTACAACAGTGTGCACCACTGCGGTACGCAAGCGCAGGGCGGATACAGCACGCACATTCGTACCCAGCAGCGGTTCGTCTTCCCCATCCCCGAAGGCATCAAGTCGGAGCACGCCGCTCCCATGCTTTGCGGTGGTCTCACCCTCTTCTCGCCGCTCATTCGCAACGGCGCCGGTCCCGGCAAGCGCGTCGGTATCGTCGGCATCGGCGGTCTGGGCCACTTTGGTGTGATGTTTGCGCACGCACTCGGTGCCGAGGTAGTTGCCATCTCGCACTCGCCGCGCAAGCGTGAGGATGCGCTCAAGATGGGCGCGTCCGAGTTCGTCTCGACGGGCGAGAACCCCAAGTGGGCCGAGGAGTACAAGGAGAACCCGTTTGACCTTATCATCAACACGGCCTCGTCCAACGCCGTCGACCTCGCCTCGATCCTGAGCACGCTCAAGGTGCACGGCCGTCTCATTTGCGTCGGCATGCCCGAGGACGTGTTCAAGGTGCGCATCCAGAACTTTGCCGGCAACGGATGCCTCATGGGCTCCTCGCACATCGGCTCCAAGAAGGAGGCGCTCCAGATGCTCCAGCTCGCCGCCGACAAGAACATCCAGCCCTGGGTCGAGGTGCTCCCCATGAAGGACTGCTCCAAGGCCGTCAAGCGCGTAGAGGACAACGACATCCGCTACCGCTTCGTCCTCGAGCAGGACATCGAGAAGAACTGAGCGGTCCAACCTCATGCGCAGACCCCAACTCGACGTTTCACTCTTTACTCTTCTGGAAAAGCAAAGATTAAACTGCGAAAATGTGTGTGGCGATGCGGGCTAAAAGTACAAATGGGGAAAGATGGCGGCGGAGGCTACTTTTCCGGGTCGGCAATCTGGGCTGGCTGAGATGCGCGTTTTGCGTCCCAGTCGCGGTCCCACTGAAGACGTTTGCCCACGAACATGGCTGTCCAAGAGAGCACCAACAGAACGGGCACCTCTACGAGCGGGCCGATGGTTGCGGCGAGGGCCTGGTCGGAGCCCACGCCGAATACGGCGACGCACACTGCGATGGCAAGTTCGAAATTGTTGCTCCCCGCGGTAAACGCCTGTACGACGGCCATCTGGTATCCCCACTCCTGCTTTCCGTAGCGCAGCGAGAGCCACCAGATGAGCACAAAGCTGCCCGTCCACATGAGGGCAAAGTACAGCACCAGCGGTACGAACGTGCGGAAGACCGGACCGAGGTTGTCGAGGATATGCTGCGCCTGTTCGGCAAAGATGATGATGATCGTATACAGCAGTGCGACGAGCGAGAGTGGGCCAAAGTAAGGCAGGAAGCTGTTTTGGAAGAACTTGCGTCCAAACAGGCCCAGCACGAGGAAGCGCGTCAGAACACCGGCGGCAAGCGGGATGCCCAGATAGATGGCCACGGCAATCGCAACGTCCGAGTAGTCCAGCTGGAATTTGTCGTCGTTGGAGATGACGTTGACGAAGAGCACGGCGAGTGGAGCGTACAAGACAATCTGGAGGATCGAGTTGAAAATGACGATGATGGCGCAGGTGGTGCTGTCGCCACGTGCGATCTTGTTCCAGATCATCACCATCGCGATGCACCTTGCCAGCCCCACCATGATGACGCCAACACGGTAGTCGTCGAGGTCGGGCAAGCATGCCCACGCCAGACCAAGCATGAGCAGCGGACCGAGGATCCAATTGAGCACGAGCGATACGGCTAGCTGGTACCACAATCTGCGTGTGGCGAACATCTGCGGCAGCCGTTCGTACTGCACCTTGGTGAGGATGGGCCACATCATCACGATGAGTCCCACCACGAGCGGCGCCGAGACGCCCCGGAAGTTGCCTGCCGAAAGGTTCTGCTGTGCGTTGGGTGCAAACTCGCCGATGATGACGCCGAGGATCATGGCGAGGATGATGAGCAGCGACAGCAGACGGTCGAGCCAGCCGAGCGAGAGCAGGATGCCCTTGGCTGCTCCCGTCGAGTCGCGTGCATCCTGCAGCGCCGAGCGCAGCTCGGGAACGCCACCGCGCGGGTCGAGAATGAGGCCGTCTTCGTCGGCCATCGCTGTAGCTGCGTCCGTATCGGATGCGGAAGGTGCGGTGGAAGGCTGTCGACTGTGCTCGAGCTTGCCGGTGCTCGGTGGATGCCTCAACGACCCGGAAGCCGACGTTTGCATCGACATGATCAAGAAGCTTGCGTGTGTGATTTCCAGAGGCGCTGTCGTGGATGGATGCAGACGGTGGTCGTGGTTCGTCGGGCAGCTCGATATTTGTACTTGTCACTTGCTGCCGCCAGACCTTTTTGAAAAATGCTGTCGATTGAGGAATGGCGAAAGGGTCCGAATTGCAAATTCGTCGTCCACCCCCACACGCTGCTGCTCAAGCTGCCTCAAACCACCGACGCTCGTTTAAACTCGTCGGGGATCCGAGTTGGCTCAGCGGCGCAGGCGACGGACGGAGCCTCAATTTGAAATTGCAATCGCCAGCCATTCGCGCCATCGCGGTGGCAAACACCAGGCTAACATCAGCGTTTCTCTTCTGCCAACCTCTAGCAATGCTCACCGGTTCGCCAAGATCACCGTACGCTTGGTGACCGACGCGGCGTCCAATTTCAAATTTGCAATCCTAACCGCATCCACGTTCTTCTTCTTGGCATGCTTACCTCCGGCGTCCGGCCGTCCAACAGCGCCAAGCCCACACACACCGGCATTGAATTCCAGAAGCAAGTCCAATTAGACAGCGGCAATACAGAGTAGTGAGAAGTGGAGTGGAGTAGCGAAGGGGTATACTAGTCGTCGCGCGCCTGGACGCGGATGTGGTAGGGGTTCTTGATGGGCAGCGTGAGCGAGTCGTCGTACGTCGGCTCGTCGTTCTTGAGCGCGGCGTGGTCGTACTTGACGTCAAAGTTGCCCAGGATCTCGGCGACGACGGCGCAGCCCTCGTAGGTGGCGAGCGTCTGGCCCAGGCACAGTCGCGGGCCGGCGTTGAACGCGTGGAAGAGGTACTGCGAGTACGTCTTGATGCCCAACGAGCCGTCGGCGCGCTTCTCGATAAAGCGTTCGGGCTTGAACTCTTCGCAGTCCTCGCCCCACAGCTCGGGCATGCGCGCCATGGTATGGTCCTGCCATGTGACCGTCTCGCCCTTCTTGATCACCAGATCCGGCAGCTTCTGCGTCGACGGCACCGCGTTGAGCGCCACCTCGGCCTCGGACGACCCCTGCGCGTACGGGCGGATGACATCGTCCTTGACGGCCAGCTTGAGGTTCTTGGGCACCGAAGGGTGCAGGCGCAGCGCCTCGAGGAAGCACGCCTGCACGTACACGAGCGAAGACAGATCGTCGTATGCCATGCTGCGGAAGTCGCTGCCCGCGCCGAGCTTCTCGTGGATCTCCTCGCGCGCCTTCTCCACACACTCGGGCGACTTGGAGAACTCGTAGAAGAGCCATCCGAGCGCCTGCGCCGTGGTGTCGCGACCGGCAATCAAAAAGTTGAGCACGACGGGCAGCAGCTCGTCGCGGCCCAGGTTCTGCTCCATAAACAGCGCCAGCAGATCCTTGTCGCCCTTGCCCGACGCCGCCTGAGCCTCGCCCCTCTCGCGCGCAGCCAGGCGCAGGTCGATGATCTCGTAGCAGAAGTTGTGCAGTGCCTTGATTGTCCTGCGCATCTTGCGTCCCTGTGCGGAGAAGAGCTCGGTGAATCCGGCCATGGGGTCGACGAAGCGCTCGTCCATCACACGCTGCGCATAGTCAAAGTTGGCCGCGAACTCGACCACCTTGTCGAGCGAGGCGACGTCCGAGGGGAGGCACTTGATGTCGGCCGAAAACGCCATGAGGGAGAAGGAGCTGAGCGTGAAGCGGAAGAAGAGGTCCGGCAGGTTGATCGGGGCGTCTTTGGCGCTGGCGTCGTGCATAAGCTTGTTGAGCTTGCCCAGATCGCGCTGGATGGTGGTCTGGACGTGGGTGCGGAAGTTTCCCACGCTAAAGATGTGCGAGGCCATCTTGCGTTGCTTGCGCCACACCTCGCCGTCGGCGACAAAGATGCCGTGGAGCGACATGACGTCGCCCATCGACTTTTGGAAGTAGGGGCCCTTGACGTAGTTTTCAAAGTTGGTCTTCTGCACCCAGCGGATGTACTCGGGGCGGTTGATCGACGTCACGCGGCCGCCGAGCGCAGGCATGGTGATGGCCCACGGCATGCCACCCGCGCCGATGCTGGTCTGCATGCGCAGGAATTCATCGAGGAAGCGGCGACGCTTGGACGCAATGTCGAGCAGGAAGAAGAGGTTGCCGACGATGGGCAGCGCACCGGGCACCTCCTTGATGCCCTTTCGATGCGAGGCAAAGATGTAGCGGTCAGGTGCGATGAGGCAGAGCAGCACGAACACGATGACCGAGCCGAGCGCAACATGCGTGGCCGTGAGATGCTCCAGCGAACTCTGCACCTTGGGAAGGAGAACCGACATGGTGGAAGCGTAGCAGACCGAGATCTGTCGTGTCGAGGATGTCCAAAGAAAAGAGGAGAAATGGCGTCGTGGTCGTGGATGCGGGACAGACGCGGACGAGTTGATCCTGCTTGAATATAAGTAGTCGTGGCCACGGCGATGGAAGCGAGCCTGGTGGATACCCCGAAGGTTCTGAAACCACGGGCCAGCCCAGCATGCGAGCAAGCTACGTGTATGCGAAGTGGTGGTGACGTTCCAATGGCGGCAAGCGACGCGGCTCGGGCTCGCCAGGCGAGCGGGGCGCGAAGACCACAGGTGGACACCACCACCACCACCCGACCCGTCGACCAGGGTTTCAGGCTTGGCGAACGGCGAGCTTGGCTTCTCTCCTCGCCCTACGAGTCCGCACGGCGCGGCAAGGCGGATGTATTCTTGTGCGCACGTCGATCCGAGGAGGGCCCAAAAAAGAAACGCGGAGGAGCAGTGTGTGCGTGTCTGAACAGCTGAGACAAGACGAGCAACGCGGCTTGGGCGACGTCAGAGCGGACCGAATTGTGCGCGCTGCTCTGCGCCACTGCGCTGGGGTTGGTTACGGTGCCTGGATGCGCTGCCAATGCTGCTGCTGTCATTCGCTATCGCCACGACCACGGCCACGGCTCTCGCATAGTGGCTTCCGCTGCCGCTGCTCTTGCATGGCAGCGGTTTGCTCGGACCCCGCGTCGGCTCCTGCGAGAGCCGCCTCCACACATGGCCGTGCAGCGCGAGAAAAAACCGAAGATTAAATTTCCGAGCCTGTTTACCCGCAGCCTTTGCTGGCCTTCCCCTCAGGCTCTATGCCGACTTACATGCCCAGAGCAGTCAAGACGAGATGCGAGAAAGCATGCTCATCTGCGCAAGCATATGCCGCTGCTCATAGAAGCGGAAGACAGCTCGCAGCAGATGAAAAGAAGGGCCGCCGGGTTGTTTGGCGGAGGCCAACGCTCCCAACGCGCACCAGCGAGAGCCGCGTTTCCCTTGGATGTGCAAATGCGATCCGCACGGCGCAGTTGCGGTCCGCGCAGAGCGGTCGGAAATTCGTGGCTCCACGTTTCCGCGGCTCCTGCTGCTGAGCCGATTTTCGCTTGCCGACCAGTCAGATGCTTGGAGGCCAGCAGCGCTTAACTTACAGCCGCGGCTCTTTGCAGCGTTGGCCTGGCCATTGGCTTTCAGAGCGCCGACCGACTGAGGGCCAATCACCGATCCTCGATGCGATCGCTCGATCCGCCATGGCATCGTCGTTCCCTTGACCCAGCCCTTGCTTCCAGCCAGCAGCTGCTGCTTGAAGGACGCTTTCGAGCAACTGCCTGAAGAGATCTCACCATCCAATCTCTCATCGGGGATCGGGGATGCTTCGGTAGATCCGCAAGCCAGATTGCACGACTCGACGTCGCATCTTCCGCCATCGCATCCACTCATCCGTTTCGCTCCTTCCCGTGCCTTCGAGGATGAGGGGCAACCGACCACAAAGTGGAGCTGTTAGAATGAGATTGGGATGATGGTATAGACAAGGCGAGCGGGTTGAAGCTGCCGCGACGAGGAGAAGATGGGCAGCGGGCACACGCTGTGGTAACAGTGCAGCACTGTCATGCCAGATCGCGAAGGCTGCGAAAGGGACTGCGCATCATAGTTGAATGCGGCTGTATCTGCGATGCACGCCGAGCTGGCAGCCACAGAATGCAATGAAGCCAATGTAGATCAACGCTGCCACGTAGCACGTCTGGCCCACGGCGATGCCGTCCTCAGGGTCCTCGGTGCTGCCCATCAGCGCTGGCCAGTTGTGCTGGAAGCCGTATCCGAAAATGGCGAGGATGATCGCACCGAACGTCGATACCACCGTGCAGCAGCCGGCTGCGGCGAGTATGAGATGCACGATCAAGAGCAAGTGACAGACAGTTCAGGACTCGTCAGTCTCGTTTCCGTCTAGACTGCAACAATCGATGAGGCTCTTCTGCTACTTACCAAGGCCGCTGCCGACTACTGGTCGCACCGCCGACATGATTGTGAGCGGAGAAGTAGGTGCGAAGGGGAGTGATGGTGAGAATGAAGCGGATCGCAGCGATGATGCGTGGCAGCCTTGAACCGCATCAGTAGCCGGCCCCTGCGTCGCTCCGCCCTCCAAACTAACACTCTCGCCGCACCGCTGCACGTGATTTGGCTGCGAATTTCGACCTCTCAGAAGTCAAATTGAACCCTGGCAGTGGCGAAAGTGCTGCTGCACGACTACTGCACGAGAGGGTGGAGGTGCAGCAGGAAGAGAGCTCTCACGACTCAGCCACCCTCCCAGCGGTTTCCCCTCCCATTCCAACGCCATCAACCCTCTCTTCTGCCAACATCTCTTCCAATCAACGGTATTCGATCTTGAGCTGGACTCAAGCCGAGCCATGACTATGCACCATGGCGCCTTCTGCTGCGGCCTCTCCGGCTAAGCGGAGGAAGCTTGCGTCGGCAAGTCCCACCAAGAACGCCAGCCCCAATGGCATAGCCCAACCTTCGCTCCTGTCCTTCTTTGGCAACGGCGCGCCCGTCTCGGCATCCTCCCGATCGCCAGACTCATCTCTTCGTGCATCATCAGATCAGAACAAATTTGCGCATGCCGGTTCTTCAACTGACCGACCGGAAGCCAAGACCGAGCGCACCGCCGACTGCCCCATCTGCGCAAAGAAGGTCCCCTTCCACACCGTCCAGGCCCACGTCAATTCGTGCCTCGACGCTGCCGATGCTACTGCGCAAGAACCCGAGGTGCTCAGAGATCATGTCAACGAGCCGCACATCTCCGCATCGCGAGAAGTTGCCGTTCCACCGCCATCATGCTCGCCCGCTCGCGGCACTTCCACAACGGCAGACAGCGCGATCCAACCACCACAGCCCACCAAAATGACATCAATATCGCAGCTTGCATCGACGCTGGATGCGAAAGTAGCTCCAACGAACGATGCGTCTCCATCACCAGGTCCCTCGGCACGAAATGGCAATGCGACGGATACCTCGAACACACCATCCTCACTTTTGGGCTCGGTTAAGCGCGCAGCTTCGTCGGCATTCACCGTCCTCATGAAGTCGCATTCCGAGTCCAAGCAATGGGCCACAGCAGATGCCGTCGAGGCTGCCAACTACCGAGGCAAGGCGCGCACCCGCCCCGACGCTCGCACCGCGCCCTTCTACAAAGCGCTCGAAGGCATGCCACTCACTGTCGACGCCTTCCGTTTCGGCAAGATCGAAGGCTGCCGAGGCTACTTCCTCACCCACTTCCACAGCGACCATTACGGAGGCATGACGTCCAACTGGAATCACGGACTCATCTACTGCAGCGTCACCACCGCCAATCTTTGCCGCACGCATCTTGGCGTCGATCCGCAATGGCTGCGCCCGCTACCCATGGAGGTTGCCGTCCCTATCCCAGACAGCGGAGGCGTCCAGGTCACATGCATCGAAGCAAACCACTGTCCCGGCTCATGTCTCTTTCTCTTCGAAGGCCCGCAAACCGCACAGCTCCTCTCGCGCAGCCACGCCAGTCCTCACATCGGTACCCGCAGGATCTTTCGATACTTGCACTGCGGCGACTTTCGCGCCAGTCCCGTACACACAAGTCATCCATCCATCGCCGGCAAAAAACTTGACATCATCTACCTCGACACCACCTACTGCAATCCGCGTTACTGCTTCCCGGCTCAGGATCAGGTGATCGAAGCTTGCGCCGAGCTTGTGCGTCGGTTGGTGCCTGAAGAACAGCTCGCGGTCAGCATTGCCGAGCGCGAGAAGGAGCGCGAAGCAGGGCATACAGAAGATTGGACACAAGCACCATCGCGCAAGAAGAACAGCGTGGACCAGAACAGCGCGTCCGCCACTGCGTTCAAGGGATGGTTCAACACCAAGGTTGAAAATTCAGACGGCACGCTGGCGCCCTTACCGCTCGACACGACTGGCGTCAAGCAGGAAGATGTAGATGACGCGGTCAAGATCAAGAGCGAAGACGTCGAAGATGACACGCTCGACTACGACGAAGAGGATCTGTTCCTAGGAGAGGACGATGCAGAGGATGTAGGCGACGAAGAGCCCGTCAACGAGAGCCCCACTCCAGCTTCGGAATTGCCGCAGCGATCCGCCGTCAAGCTCGAGCCCTCCGAAGAAGCCCTACTCGACTTTGCTCCCGAGTCCAAGTTGCGACTCGGAGCGACTGCGGGCGCACAAAATCCACCTGAGTCTGCTGCCGATCCGCTCGACGTCAAGGAAGAGGATGTCAAGGACGAGTCTGACGATCGGGACGCGGCGGATGGCACTGCGACCAATGCGACCAATTGGTTAAGCAAGCACTCAGAAGCGAGCCGCGACGCCAGCACGTTCCGACGGCGCGAGGCGGGCCGGCTGTTGGTTGTGATCGGAACCTACACGATTGGCAAGGAGCGCATCGTGAAGGCGGTTGCGCGCGCCATGCATTCCAAGATCTTTTGCATGGACTCGCGCAAGTATCGCGTGTATGCTCAGCTAGAAGATCCCGAGCTGCACGCCATGCTCACGCGCGATCCTGGTGCTGCGGTGCACGTCACCAATCTGCATGCGATCAATGGCGAGGGGCTGCGCGATGTTGTGGCTGCGCTGCGAACACGGGGACACAACTTCACGCATGCCGTCGCGTTCCGTCCGACAGGTTGGACGTATCGACCGCCTGCAGGCATGGACACGGTTTCGCCGAGTCTCGAGAGGCTGGTGCAGTGGAATCAGTCGCGCTCGTTTGGACCGCAGAATCTGTATCCGACGCGAGATAGCACGCCGGACTACATGATTTACGGCGTACCCTACTCGGAGCACTCGAGCTTCTTTGAGCTCACGGCGTTTGCGCTCGGCACGCGGTACGACAGAATCATTGCCACGGTCAATGTGGGCAGCCCCACGAGCAGGGCAAAGATGGCAAAGTGGTTCGAAAAGTGGATGCTGGAAAAGAGGCGTAGGGCCAAGCACGGCCTGGGCGCCCTAGACCCGCGTGCCACCACATATTGGTAAGACTCGCAATATGAACATGAACTGCAATGATTTCGGGCTATTGTACAACACCTGATGGTGAGAGGGGGAGCGGGAGCGGGCGGGCTAGAGGTTCTCCCACTCGAAGCGGACGAGGAGGGTGGAGTGGGTTTCTCGGCCCTTGAGATCGAGCAGTCGGATGAACTTCCATCCCTGTGCAGCATATACGAGCCTGACGGCGGCGACGGCGAAGAGCGGGTTTCTGGCAAACTTGTCGTCACTCTTGATGAGGATGCGCAAGAAAGCCAGCTCGTCGTGCTCAAACTCCCACTCGAGCGTTTCGTTCCACAGCGGATCGGTGGGGCGCGGCTGTTCGCCACGATGGATGATGCCGAGCTTGTGCTGCTTGTACGGCTTTGTCTTTTCCTTCTGCGGCTCGTTCTCCAGATCGGTGGGGAGGATGAGCGTGCATGTGACGTAGGGTCGGATGTCGTCGGCATCGTGACCATGCGGAATGGGCAAATCGGTGGCACCTGCAATGTGCAGCTTGAGCCGCCGACGACCGAGCGCGGTGTTGCCATCGCCACCGATGCGCAGACCGGCGGGCTTGAGAACGTACCCGTCCGAGCCCGAGAAGAGCGCCTCGTTGAGCTGCACGCTGTGGTCGAACGTCTGCCAATTGAGCGCACACACCTGTGCACCGACCCCCCAGAACGGAACCGGGTTGAGGTTCTTGGAGCTAATGCGCGTGCCCTTGGGATACACCCGCATGAGATGCTGCGCATTGTGCTTCTTGATCCCGGCAGCCTGCTTGGGCAGCAGGTCCAACAGTCCCGTCTCGGAGATGTTGATGAGGTGGTCGTGCGGGCCGTTGGTCAGCGTCGACGTGTACCACGAGTCGTTGGTCGGCTTGACCGACTGTGCGTACACGCCTAGCGCACACAGCTCGGGGATGATGCCCGCCTTCTTGGCCTCGTTGCGCTTCGCCTTATTCTTGCGCTCCTCGTCGTCGTCATCCTCGTCGACATGCTCCACCGGCGGCTTGTCGGAGGGATGGAATTCGACCATCACCGCAATCTTGGCGCCGAGGTGGTCGAGCGCCGTATGCTCCGAGGCGGGCACACCCTTGTCGACGGGGCCCGAGATGAGCAGATCGCCCCACACCTCGTGCATGATCTCGACGAGACGCTTCTGGCCCGCGTGGCCGCAGTGGTTCTCGAGCGACAGCAGCACGGGTGCAGGGCGGAAGCTCGAGTCGCGCTGCGCTTCCTCCTCCTCCTTGCGCAGTGCCTGCTTCATCGTCTCGCACACGGCGCGGAAGGGGATGTGCGAGGCGAGCGTGTAGCCGTGCGTGACCTTGGGCTCGGTCGGATTGTCGTCGTTGTCCCAGGCGTCGATCTCGACACAGCGAGCACCGGTGATCATGACGTGCTCGTACGCTACCGCAGACGACGAGCCGTACAGCTGGTGCGCCAGCAGATACGTGTTGTGCGACGAGCTGATAAAGTACTCGGACAGCGGACGGCTGCGGTCGCGCACGTAGTCCGGCACGTCGATATGCGACTGGTCAACCAGCGCCTTGAGTGCCTCGGAGCTCGAGGCCTCCTGGTCGTCCAGAGCCGCATCGACGGGTGAAAGCAGCTTCTCGTCCACGAGGAACTGGCGCAGCGCATGGCTGACGCGCAATTCGGACTTGGTGATCTTGGTACGGCGTGCGGCATGACCACCGCCACCGATCGAGTCGAATTCGACCTCCTCACCTAGATTGTCGCCTCCGCCCTCCGGGTCTGCGCTGCCAGTCTTGGAGAAGGGGTTGAGCTTGGCGAACTTGGAGGTGAGCACCGAGGGGGCGGACTTGCCGTCCTTGGTGTGCGCGTCCTGCGTGTCGGACATGGTTGCTATTCTATCAGCAATCTAGCTGGGAGAGTAAGGGAGAGTGTAAGATGCGCCACTCAAAGGGATGTTTGGAGGGCGCAGGGCTGTGATATGGAGGCGGGAAGTGATGTGGCGGGTGGGCTGTCACAAGTGCCTCGAAGCTTTGCCCGTGCTCGGCAGAAGTGTGGAGGCATGTGCTGCATGCTGCACGCGCACAGACATCCAGCAGTGCCGCGAAAATGCCCCGAGGCGGCTCGGGCTGGCGACCTCGGCGTTCTCTTCTCGCGCGAGAATTTGCTGTCCGCCGCCTCGGATCTCGCAAGTCGAACCGCGTGAGCAGGCAGTGCAGGTGTTGTTCTTTGGCCGCCCAGGGTTTGATGCTCTGGTCCATCACGCTCCACTCAAGGCCTCGCGCAGCACCTTCCAGCATGTCGGGCACAGACAAGCAGCCGCTCATGAGTAACTCACACAGCGCCTATCGTGAGTCGCTCGACGACGACCTCGATCCGCGCTACGCAACCGAGTCCTACCAGCACCAAGCCTCCGCACCGGCTTCCAAGTCTAGCAACGTGGTGTTCGACGCCGCATCATCGCTCGAGGCGCAATCGCAACCTAGATCGCTCTCGTCCACTGGGGCGCCATCGTGGCAGCAGCAGGGGCAGCAGGGCGCTGCAGGTGGCTTCACCAACTCGTTCAGCACCTCGCAGTCGTGGAGCCTGAGCAGCATCTGTGCCATCGCATGGGCACTGCCGCCGTTCAGCTCGGCATTCGTGCTGATTTGGGAGACGGAGAACGACCTTGCGCGCTTCCATGCGTACCAGGCGGGCATCAGTGGCGCTGCGCTCATCGTAATTGTATGGATCCTCAGAAGCGTGCTCGGCCTCAAAACCATCGGCCTCCTCGTAGCAATGGGCGCCTACGGCTGGTTCTGGGTCAACGCGTGCGTATCTCCCCACTCCCAACTCGTTGTGATAGGTCAATTTACTGACGCAATTGCTTTCGGTGGTGAACAGATCAACCGCACACAAATCAGCACCGTCACTATCGAGGAATCCGTACCTGCCACACATCGGCGACATAGCCTCGCGATGGGTGGGCGAAGAGTAGCCGCCCAACGTACCTTTCTCAGCAATCTCACTGTTCCAGCATCACACACGTCACACTCCAACACTTTGCGCAGCTCGCATGCGACGGCGTCAGATTGTCTTTGAAGCTCTAGCAACGCGGCAGCCAGTCTCGAAAGGGGAGGTCGGGGAAAGCATCGAGCCAACGATCCAAAAAGATGTCGAGACCGCCACCGATCGTGCACTGGTGCGTATAGAAAGCCTGTTCGACCCATCTGCGCGCCTCCTTCTTGCTGTCGGTCCTGCTTGGATCAGCGAGCATGAACTTGGCGAGCGTGAGCATCGAGGTGATGCCTCCGTCGAAATGCAGCGACGGCAGCTGGTCAAGCACTCTCCCATGTGCATTATCCTTTGCCACCGTACATCCCACGGACTCGAGTGCCTGCAGCTCGGTGGCGATGGCGGCATCCATGTCGTAGTGGCTCTGGTGCAGTGCTTGCAGCTGGAGGATCTTCATGAGGTCCGGACGCAGGATCGGACGCGATGCATCGTACGTCGCCTGAACCTTTTCCACGAGTTCCTGCAGCGACTCTGCCAGGTCCCTGTGGTCCTCCACCTCCTTGTCCCTGCTGGCATCGGGCTGGGTGGACGACTTGAGGACGATGCGACTGCGTTCTTGCAGCATGGAGAGGGATCCGCCCACGATCTGGCCGCGCTCGCGCACACGCTCCTCTCCATCGCGCTCGTCGAGCACACAAATGCCGCAGCTGCACTTGAAGCCGTGCTTGGAGAGCTGCGAGCGTCGGATGAGCCACGGCTGCTCGCCCTTGACGTACTGATGCATGATCTCGGTGCCGCGCTTGAGCGGATGCAGTGCGCGCGTCGTCACAATGTCGCCGAAGAATACCGACGAGACATTGGGCAAGCAGGCGTGGTTGAGAATCGCCGGCAACGGATGCACCATGGTCGAGCGCGACAGCTCCGAATCGTGCGCGGCATCATCGGCGTCGGAGGATGCGGATTTGCCGCCCGGGTTGGCAGCGGGACCGAACGCGTTGAATCGCAGCACACCGTCGACGTAGCTCGAGTCAATCGCCGGCCTCGCAGCGCCTTCGAGGACTGTCTCCTTCCACCGTTGCTCTTCGGTCCTTTTCGCCGATGCATCAACGGTGCAAGCGGCGATAAGCGTGGCGAGGTGGTCAGGCTCGCTTGCTGCATCCGCGTAGCTTCGCTTCTCTGGGGCCGGGTAGGGCTGTGCGACCCACCGCGAGTACTCGACGTCCGGTCCAGCAGTCAGCCCCATAATCGGCAGAGTCCATCGCTGGGGCCGATCGATGATGGCATGGATGCTCTTCGTCGCCGCCAGCACCTGCGTCGTCGTACTTGTTACGCCCGATTCGACCGAGTAGCGGAGGAGATTCACACCGCGGCATCCGCGGTCGGCGGCATAGCTCGCCGCAGCCGCCTTGCAGCACAGCAGCAGCTCGCCCTCTTCGACATCGCGAGTGAGCACCAGTCCACGGCCTGCACCGGGGATGTCCTGGATCGCAACAGGTCCGAGCCAGTCCTGCATGTCGAAGCGCGGCGTGGCATAGGATTGCGAGTCAAAGTAGTAGCCCCAGACGTTTTCGTGGCTCGGCCCGAGCGCGGACGCTTTTTGGGCTGCACGCACCGCGGTGAGCTTCTCCAGGATGCGGTCTTGGGCCGCAGCGCGCTGTGCGGGAGCATACGCTTGGAGCGCCGCCTCGTACGCCAATCGACTCGTCTCGTAGTTGCACAGGCGGTGTAGCACTTCGGCTTCAAGCTCGAGGTTTTCCGCAATGGCCGAGGCGGAGGTCGAGGTGGGAAGGCGGACGAGACGGGCGGCACACAGTTCGCGGTACGCTGCGCCGGGTCGGTCGTCACTGAGCAGCGACTGGATGAGCTGCCGCGTGCGGGCGCTGAGCTTGTTTCGCTGCTCTGTGTCGAGGCCCTGCACTTGGTCGGCTACGCGGTCCAGCGACGTGGAAGCGACAGCGCGCGAGAGCGGACCGTCTTGCAGCCAGCGGCAACCCTTAGAGTTGCAAGCTGCCGGCGAGTCTCGGAGTAGCGAGCCCAAGTCGCTGAAATGCTCGTCCTTGTCCTGTGCTACGTCAACCTTCCACTGTACCGCATCGAGGATCTTGGCGTCTGCATTGCTGAGACGGTCTAGGACATGCACGTCGGTGGGCGTGTCCACACGGACACCCGGCACGCTCTTTCCGGCTTGGCACGGCCCGCCCTTTGCAAAGTGGTTGAGGCTTACGAACGGTTCGCGGACAGCCAGCACAGTGCCAACGGGAAGCAATGCGTCGAGCTGCTCGCCACTGAGGTGAAGGTCGGAGGTGAAATGCGCGATGGTGATGGGCAGTGCGTTGCCCGAGGGAAGGAGGCCGATGAAGGTGCAGCCGACGTACAGATTGAGGCTGGAAGCGACCTTGCACAGGATGTATCGTCCGGTGAAACGCTTTGGAGCTTCGAGCTCATCTGCATCGAGCCGCGCCAATTCGGCGAGCGGTTTGTCGGAGGCATAGCTGCCTGCGCCGTCGAACGTCTGCCTCGGGAGATAGACACGCCTGCGCTTGCGGCCGGACTCGGGGTCGTGCGCAGCAACGTACACCTCGTCTTGGCGCTTCTTGACTTCGGCTGCCTGACGCGCAAGTAGCGCTTTGAGTGGAACAGCCTTGAGCTTCTTTGGTGCTGCGAGTGCTTCCGTCTCCTTGCGGAGAGCGTCACGCTCCTTGTCGATGGCCTTGTTGTAGTTCTCGAGCAGCGCCTGGACGGCGCCCTTGAAGAGGTCGGCGTCTACGAGCGGATCGATGCCGATGTCTTCGTCGGCATCGCTGTCTGCATCGTCAGTGCTGTTTGCCGACTGCTCGGCTTCGTCGGGCACAAGGTCGTTGTTGGCAGGGGTGAGGGAGAGGTGGCGCGCAAGGTTGTCCTGGACTTGGGTGTCTGGGTCCGAGAGCTGGAGGAGCTGCTCTGGATCCGGCAGCGCGAGGCCGATGTTGCGAAGCGCCTTGAGAAGGTCCTCCATCCTTGTGACAGCTACACAACCGTTACGAGGGGGGATCAGATGCGCTTAAGACCAGAAGTGTTGGACTGCCACAACGCTCATGTCGTGTGGGCCCGGCGCACGAGCAAGAAGAAAGAGCACCTTTGACCCAAAAAATGCTCACTTTCTCGGAAGTCGGGCACACTCTTGTATCGGCCGATTTGACCCTCGCGACATCAGTCCGATATGAAAGGCTTCGGCAAGCTCGGGTTTGGATGCGAGCGTTGCGTCAAGGGTCTGCGACGGCTCGCCAGTGGCATGCCTCAACGTGGTGATTAGCCTAGGAACCATGCGAGCACGAGCGCATGTGATCCGGTCGTGTGCGGTGCGAGCAGATCGTGCGTTGACCAAGCAACGATGCTGCGTGTACGATCCTGGCAAAACAAAAATGGGATGCGCTAGGCGAGGGTGGAGTTTGAAACTGCGCAGCTTTTCGGCACAACGGAGCAAAGCCGAGCGGAGAAAAAAAAATAGTACGAGAGTGCGGGATATGCAGGTCTCAGCTGGTCGGAGCGACGTACCGGTCACACCACCCAATCAACGAGGAACGTGACCGCCGAAGATCCTAGAACCCCACATCGCTCATGCATGTGCGCTTAGCATAGGACAAGAGAACGGACCACGATATCAATAATGAAGCTGACTGGGTTTAGGTTACGATTCCGTCTTTCATCGAAGCTAGCAGATCCGGATTGAGTTTTGTCTTTCTGGCGGCTGGAACAAGGTGGCGGTATGCGAAGTGTGTCGTTCTGCTGATCTGTGCTGGTACGAAGCGCAAGTACAAGAGAGCGAGGGCAGGCGAACGATGGATGGCAGCGTGCCGAAGGCGGTCAACGTGGACAGGGCTCGCATTCGAGCACCTTCGCTCGTGGCCGCGCCAAAATTGCTCTGAAAAAAAGGTGGAGGCGGGATAGACGGTCACACGCCTGTCTGCAAGCCTAAAAATGTCGCTCCGCCAGCCGCCGCCGCTTTGGACCGCCGCGCGGCTGCAGCTTCGGAGTCGGGCGTTCCTTGCTCGCTTGCACCACTCGGAAATTCAAAGCTGCTCATAGCCGAAGTCTCACTGTCCCCTGTGAGAGACCACATGCTGCTCTCTCTCTCTCTCTCTCTCTCTCT